TTATTTAGTAATCAAATACTAATAGAAAATATATATTATTTAGGTATTTAATATTAATTAGGATTCTAACTATTTAGTAATATAATACTAATTAGGATTTCATATTTAATTAAATGTCAATTTCTTATTTTTGTTACGTCTTCTATATTTGCATCCATAACATTACTCTCCCTTGGTTTCAAGTTTGTTCTCAAGCTTGAAATGTGGATATAGTTGTCTCATTGGTCTTTTCTTGTTGTCCAGTATCACATTCAATCTCGAACCAGAATAGTTATTTACATTGGTGACTCAAAACAAACGACTCATCACAGTTATAACACAACTCCTTCAATCTCCTTTCTACCATCTATGCCCTTATTAGTTTCTTTATAACTGAAGAGAAAATGTTATTAGATTGTGTCGTAATGTTGTTGCTCTGTAGAATCGGTGTTTCCTGAATTGAATTGTTATACTTGGTCACGAATTGATAAGGATCATTATAATTGTTTTTGGTCATAACCCACAGCTGCTGTTTCCTTTAAAAAACTCTGGTCATACTCATTGCATGCACAAGAGTGGCAGGTGATTGCATCTTGACTTGTAAACGAAGACAATCGATCAGTCCTGCTGTGAACAAACTTACACGCTGATCAACTCGAACAAATTTGTTTGCCTGTGCCAATTTTTCCTGAAACTGCCTTTGATACTCTTCAACTGACTCTGTTTCTTTCAAGTTCACCAGTGCCCCCAATGGGTTGTTTCCAGTTGGCGGTCCAAACCTTAACGAGTATTATTCATTGAATCCAGCCCGATTGATTATGAGTTGTTCAGATTTTAACTGATGAGACCAAAGTTGCTCTTCACTGAGCATATGGAAAACAACCAATCCCACCTTATTTCCTTTCGGTGTGTGTTGATTGGTAAAGCTTTTTCCACACTGATGTAAGCAGATCAGAGGATCTTTAGAATGGTCGAAGGTTGAAAAGTCTAATTTAGTGTAGCGAGAAACAACCACATTACTTGAGTAATGGTTTGTGTCTTACCAACGACTTTCCGTGTGAAATGCTTGGGGCAGTTGTTCTCGCGGGAAATGACTATTGACAGTTCCTTCCGAAACGGTTCACATGTTCTGACCAATTCCAGCCAACATCTCCTTGAATTGCAATAATAACTCTTACAGCTAACTAGCTAAGCATCTTTCAATTTCTGTTGTTCGTGTTTCGTTTGTAGCGAGAGTTTTCTTTACCATCAATCATAGATCTTCCATTGTTGTAGAATTGCCCATTGTGTTAGGTTCTAATACTAATTTATTATGTTCCCGAGACCAAGATCTTGTCATTGGATAATTTTCTGGAATTTTTGGTTCTAGAATTTGTTTCTTCTCCTTGCTGCGAGTTTTTGAGCGATCTATTTTTGTGAAAATAGATTACAACTCATCAAAGGGAGTTGTTACCTAGGATTTCGTTAGAGAGAACTCCAATCTGGTAGTTTAAAATAATATTGTGATTTATTTTATTAATAGCGAGCATTTTCCTTTATATAAAAATTACAATTTTTATTTAGAAATAATTTAATTTGGAATGTAAATCTAATTAGAAATGTTTTCCTAAAATATTAGAAATTTTACACTATTTAAGAATTAAATACTAATAGAAAATATATATATTATTTAGGAATCTAATACCAATTAGGATTCCATAGTTAATTGAACGTCAATTTCTTATTCTTGTTGCACCTTCCATAATTGTATCAATAGCACACTTCTTTTTGTTTCCTACTTTCAAATCTCTAAACATTTTAATATCTATAGCTTTCTTTAACATTTTGTTTGAAGTTTCTGTAGAAAATAAATATTAGATGGTCAGAATTAAAGGATAGAATTGTATTTTCATTTTCTGGACAGGTGGAATCGTCCACCACCACTAGAAGTTGTTAAATTTGTTGTTTCCGTTTTTCATTCTGTTTTGGGGACCACACCCTAAATTTTGGTGTGTTACCTTGGCTGCTGGGAGCTTATAAAAGGCACCTCTTCGCCTCTGTGTAGAGGAAGCAAGAAAAAAAAGAAGAATTTCTCATTCTCAATCTCACTCAAATTTGCTTCCATTAAATTCTTCAGTTCCCATAACAATGATAAGACAAATGGAGATAAGGGGTCTCTTTATCTGAGACCTCTTGAGGCTTTGAGAAAGAAAGATGAACCCTTACCTCCTGTTTGGATAATAGTAAATGATAGTCAATTAATGTATGGTATTCCACGAGTGTGATAAAATTCTGTTTGTTTCAACTTCCAACTTGATGAGATGGTTGTAAATGGTACATTTTGGATGAATTTTAAAAACCATTGAATAGGTGGTATTTGACAGATAAATAATTTTATTTTCCGTTATATTCTTATAAAATATGTTTAATTCTCATTATACCCTCCTAAATAAATGATTATTTCAAATATATTTTAATTTTTTATTTTTTGAAATAATTTTAGATTTAATATAATAATTCATAATTACAACTATCTGTTTTTAATATATAAATAATTTTATTTTTATTAAAATTAAATTAATATGATAATATAAATAATAATTATTTATTTTATCAAATATAAAAATTTAATTTGATTATGTGTAATAATTATTTATTTAAATATAAATTTAATTATATTCTTATATAATTTATTTATTTTTTTCATTACATATTTTTCATATACCATTTATTATTACATATAATAAAATAGAGATAAATTAGTACTGAAAATACAAACATAATATCTTATCATTAAAATAAAACAGTTGCTATTAACATACATTAATACACAATTATCTAAACATAAAAAAATTTTATCATTCCCATCTTATGTTATTGTTATCTAATCACTGTCATTATCATAAATTAATTATCCATTACTAAATTTATCCAAACAGGATCTTAGTCACCACACAAAATCCAGTCTTGTTATAATATAATTAATTATAGAAAATCTTAGTTCACATGATCGTATGCCTTCTTGTTGAGCTTGTATAAGATCCCATCTTTTGTACACCAGATCATCCACTACCTCATTAGCAATTAAATCTGCATCCATAATCTACCCTGCCCCAGAAAAGGCATGATGACATTCACCAAACCCTCCCTCATCATCATAGCCATTCTTCTCGCTGAGAATTTTGCAAGAAGTTTATAAACACATCCCACCGGACTAATTGGGTGGAAGTCTTTTATATTAATAGCCCCCTCAATCATTGGAATGAACACTAGAAAAGTAGAGTTTGAACTCTTGATAAAAGAGCCCGACTCATGAAATTCTCTGAACAGGTCAATTATATCACCTTTAACCCCACCCCAAAACCTCTTCAGGTAACCCATGTTCAAACCATCAGAACTTGGAGTCTTATCCCTCTGCATGAGGCCTTCTGAAATTTTCTCCTTTAGGAACTCCTTTTCGAACAATGCTGGATCTTGCTCCTCCAATTTACTGATCTTAAGCCCGTCAAGTGTAGGTCTCTAGTTGGAGTTCTCAGTATATAAGTTCCTAAACTGGGAGTTTACCCCTTCCGTCAATTCATCAATACTTTTTCACTGCTTGACCATTGATTACCAGTTTCCCCACACAGTTGACTCTTTTATGATGGTTAACCATGCTGTGGAAGAACTTTGTATTTTTATCTCTCTCTGTAATCCATCTCTCTCTCGATTTTTACCTCTAGGAAATCTCTTTAGTTTGAATCGATTAAATAAGTCAAACCACATTTTCTCCTTTCTCTCCCTGCCACTAGGGGATAAATCTTCCTCTTCATCAGCTAAATCAAGACTATCAAGCTCCTGCAGTAAAAAGGAATAGCATGGGCTTCATTCTCCCAAGCTCCTCACTCCACCACTTAATTTTTGTTTTTACTGCTATGATTTTGTTTTTTTGGCCACCCTGAAGCTTGCATTGCCAAATACATTAGTGTTCTTGTACAAATTTTTAACTCTATCCTAGAAGCTTAACACCTTTAACTACTTATCCCTGAACTTAAATGGGCAAGGTTCCCATTTGATGCCATCAAAAATTCAAACAAATGGAAAGGTGGTCCTATATGATGCACCGAAGACATCTCTGATAAGCCCTATCATCTGAGATTCATATTAGAAATCAATCTACTTTAGAGAAACTAGGACAAGATCTTTGATTAGACCAGGTTCACTAGCCACTAAAGAGTGATAAGTCCATTAGCTCCAATCTGTCTATAATGTCCTTAAATTCCTTGGCATCAACCCTGGAGATCCCATCTCATGTTGAACACTCATGTCTCTTGAGAACCATATTGAAGTCACCTTGACAATCTACGGAAGATCCCATCTCCTTATACATTCCTCCAGATCATGCCACAAACTTTCCTTTCTTCTGTCCTTCACCTCTATCAAAGGCTCCTGCAAACACCCAGCTCCATCCATTGCTCCCTTCATTCAAACAAATAAGAGAGTGAACAGTCCCCCATGTAAACATCTTTGCATTGCAGACTATTCTAGTTCCAAAGCACAACAAATCCATTACCTACCCCAACTATATGCTACTCTGTCCAACCCACCTTCCTTAATCTTCCACGTACTGTGTGCCATGATATTCGAGAAAGAGTCCACTTTTGTCTACTGTAAGCAGATCAGCCCCGGTTTCATCTTGACAAAAAACGTCTTATAACTGATGTCTTCTTATGACCATTCAGCCCTTGCAAGTTCCAAGAAATTATGGAATCTAGCGCAAGGCTATTGCTGAAGCTTCCCCATTCCTTCATAAAAGGACTTTAGATTCAGTTGGGAAAGATCTTGATGGTGTTCGATAAGTTGAGCAACATATGGGCCTGATGTAACTGTTTGTAGCAACATTTGATGGTAAATGTTTGATGGACAGTGTATTCAAGTTGTATGGCATGCTAGCTATATTTATCAGACAACAAGTATGTTATTTTTCGTTGCAATTGCTTTTTGGAGTTACTCAAGTTGTAGGGATTTGGATTGTATTGCTCCAACATAACATCTATGGGTAGATGGTCAGGTTGAAGTGGTTAATGAGTACCTTGGAAGGTGTATCTGCCGTGTACCACGACAAGCTTGGTTCAGCTTGGCAAAAGTTTGATGCAACACAAATCACCATACTTTTGATGCTACATCACAGTTTGAGAAATTTTGTATGGTGTGCGCTACTAGTCCATCTTACTTTCCAAGAAACTCTAGAAAAGCTGAAGTCCACTATTATAACTCCTACTAAGCATACTACAGATAGATTATCCTGCTCTGATGCAAGTTTATCTGGGCCTGGAAAGGTTAGGGAAATAATTTCTGTTATTCTGCTTCTTTTTTCTTTTGTAAGTGTAGCTTTAGAAGAATATTCAGTGCAAGGACAAACGAAATGCCAGTTGTCCTTGTACCTGGTACTTAGTTGCTTATTTTTGTTTTATTCTATGTGTAGGATTGGTACTGCTATATATCCCAAGGTTGTATTAAGCTGAAACTATGAAGAACTAATTCTACAGGCAAACTGAGACACATTTCATTTGAATTGAGGAAATTTGCAAGGTAGTATATTGCCTTGAGTCACCAACTCACCACTGCATCTGGGTCCACCCAGCATACCATGTATCTCAAATAAAGGCACCACTGCCTAACGCTACAAAATCAGTTGAACCTTTCGGGATCAAGCAACTGAGCCTAAGCCATAGAAGAGTCTTGAGATCCTGCTGGTCAACGATTATTATTTGCGTGAGTTTTTCATTCATTGGTAGAACACTGAAACGGAGGTTCTGACGAATGAGTTTCAGCTTGACATTCCTCAATTTTCCCTTAAGGGCGAGGGAACTTAGAGGAGGGTGAATGGGGTTGTTGTCAGTACTAGATAAAGGAAAAAAGGAATATATATAGAAAGAAAAAGGACTAGTGGGAACAAGCAGTTAAGAGTAATGGGAAGTGGGAGAGTAGGAAGAGTTGTTTAGTTTCTCACAAAGGAGGTCTATCTGCACAGGAAAAAGAACTGGTAGGAACAAGCAGTTTAGAATAGCAGAAAGTGGGAAAATTAGGAACGCTTGTTTTAGTTGTTTGTTAGGCATTTGGCCAAACAGGTAGGTAGTTTGGGATATGAAAGCTCAGTTCACAACTATCAAATATCTATCTGAAGAAATGATGCATACCTGTTTGTCTCTCTGGTTGTTCTTCTCTTTACATATCTTATGGTTTCGCTGTTTGTATGAGTTCTATAATTTTGCTCTTACTGATTGGCCTCCTTGTTTGTTGTTGATTTATTCTCTCGGGAAAGGTTTGCTAAATGAATTCAGATTTTACATTTAATGCTCATAGAATTTATATGCTATTTTTTCCCTTCTTTTGCAGCAACCAGAAGGCTTGAGGATTTTCAGCTTAAGGCTGGCTTTTGGGAATCCATCAGAGCTGGGTATGTTGTAAAACACTTGTTTTTATTCTACATGCATGCATGCATGTTCATGGCTAAAGGATACCCACACATTCAAGATAGCAAACTTTACTCTTGGCATATATTATCTGCCCCAGTGCTTGGGTATTTTTAAAAGGTCATGTTTGCTTCCTTTTTCTGCAGATTTCTAAAGAATAATACAACACAGATTATTGAGCCACCATCCACATTAGATGAAGGGGAAGAACCAGTGTCTGAGGAGTTTGTTCTTGTTGAAAGTACTGACGCAGATGGAATAATTGAACAAATAGTATTTTCTTTTGGTGGAGATATTGATATGTATGACCTTCAGGCTCTGTGTGACAAGGTTGCCATTCCTTTGTCAGTACCTTTTTCACGTAGGGATAATGCTTGTGTCAGTTAATACTTGACCTTGTACATTTATAGAGTCAGTGGTTATAAATATGAAAAGCCTGCTATTTCTCCAATTTGAAGGGTTCTGTTGACTTTGTGCTAATAAGTAATGCTTACTTCCTATGTCTCTCCCGAAAAAAAGGTTGTCTTCTTTCTGCTGAGATCAAATCGTTAACATTCATAATCATATTGTTCACCAGGTAGGCTGGCCTAGGAGGCCACTGTCAAACCTAGCTAGAGCTCTGAAAAATAGCTACATGGTAGCCACGTTGCATTCCATTAGGAAATCACCAGGATCAGGTACTTTCTTTTTTTAATTATGTAGAATGATCAGGTACTTAATAGATGGAACCGTCATCCACTTTAGTGTAACTAGTTTGGTTCAGCTATATCTAAAACTATTTGATGAACATCTTAGTGGACTTGGAGAAGTTATTTGACAGAGGGGAATGAGCAAAAGAAACTAATTGGCATGGCCCGTGCTACATCAGATCATGCCTTCAATGCAACAATTTGGGATGTTCTTGTTGATCCTAGCTATCAGGTATGTTCTGTTTATCATGGGCAAAATCTTATTCCGGAACATAGATTGCAATTAGTGATTGTGTTCTTGATTTCAGGGTCAAGGCCTTGGTAAGGCCCTTGTCGAGAATCTTGTAAGGGCTCTTATGCAGAGAGACATAGGGAACATAACACTTTTTGCAGATAGTCAAGGTATGACTCCTTTGAAATGTAATATACATAATATACTGAAATCTAATTTAAATGTTACTTCTCAGATTTTTAATTACAACTATTTCAAGACTTGACTGTTTTACTATGTGTTACTTGTTGGTTTATTTGTTTATAATGTGTTAAAGAGTTAAATTAATTTTTCTAATAACTTAAGCTGATAAAAGATGACCCACCATTATTTATATTTTAAGAAATCTCTTCACACGAAAGCCTGCCAAGTTAAATGCACGAATTGAATTTTACAGGAAATAGGGAACTCAGATTGCAGCTCTAGTCCTCTTGCTTAGATACTGTGTCAAACAATAGTTACTATGTTAAGCTTTTATGACCTGATTTTTGTAAAGGTTTAAATTGATAGGAAATTATTAAATTTATTATTTATTTTGTAATATGATTAGTTTGGTAATTCCTCAAAAATCATGCGGTAATATCAACCTTCATTTGTTTGGAAGTATCTAGGCGAATATTTGATCTCATTATCAATAGAGAAGCTTCACCTTCAACTCG